ACAATAATTTCAGGGTTCTGTAAATTGACTAATGGCAGACAAGTTGAGAAGCATTTATTCTTGAAAAGCTACTAGGGCTTTGGATAAGAATAGTGAGAGTTTCTAGGCTTTAGCCACCAGAGGGGTAGACTTGATTTGGTGGGGTTGGTAGTGAGGTGTGAAAATGGCAAAGGTAGAAAACAGCAGGACAAATCTGTAGCTCTAAGTCCAGGGGAGTATTAAAAAATGTCAGAAAAATAATCAGAATCCAGAGTTGCTATAACACAGTACCTGGAAGTCCAGCATTCAACCCAACCTTATAATACATGCAAAGAGAGAAGGAAAAGTGACTCATATTCAAGGGGAAAAAAAATCTGTGTGTGTATGTATGTGTGTACATGTACTCTGTTCTCTTAATTTCTCTAAAAAACATGGTTGCTTAAAACAATGATGATAACACTGCATCATTGGCTTAATAATGCATATAGATTAATATATATAAGACTAATAGCAAAAAAGGATGAGGAAATGGGGATGCCTGGGTGGCTCAGTCGATTAAACGTCTGCCTTTGGCTCAGGTCATGATCTCAAGGTCCTGGGATCAAGTCCAGCATCAGCACTGGGCTCCCTGCTCAGCAGGGAGTCTGCTTCTCCCTCTCCCTCTGCCCCCCCCCCACTTCTGTGCTTGCTCTCTCTTTCTCTCTCTGTAATAAATAAATGAAATCTTAAAAATATAATGGAAAGGTATTGCAGAAAAAAAACACTGTATTTTACCAGAATTAAGTCAGTATCAATCCTAAGTAGATGGTAAGTTTAAGATGCCTGTTAGAACTTTTACAGCAATGACTAAGAAAAACACTTTTAAAAAAGCTAAAATTCAACAGAGGAATTAGCCTGGTATAATAAAAAAAATTATCACAAATTTAAAGAGGTAAAGGAGGAACAGAGGGAAAGAAAAGACATGAGGCACATAGAAAGCAAATAGCAAAGCGGCAGACATACACATTCAGATTCTTGGCAACCCGAGGTTTTGTTGGACAACAGGAGTGGCAGAGACTGCAGACAACCAGAAAGTGAAGGCCTGGACAGCAGCTCCCTCTAGATGGGATATGTGCTTTCCATGTTTCCCCAGTTTCTATTACTCTCAATTGCACTTTACACTTCAGGGTTCACTTCACTCATTCTGCTATCTGCCTGATAACAAGCCATCTCTCCTCCATCCCAGAGGGGCAAGCATCCCTTCCTGACTCCACGGGCTCTCCCTTTGTAGATGCATTTTCACTGGCAGTTCTCAAACCTTTCCAGAAATTAAGTATAAATCATGCATTGTGTATGCGAAAATGACATTGTTTTATTCTGTTAGGGGTGTGAGTTGAGTGATTTAAATATGGAAAGGAGACATTTAAATTTTTGTGTAAGCTGGGGAAATGTTACACGTTTTGTTGGCATTTGAAGAAAGCCGTGTAGTTTTATGCTATTATTTGTAACACCATTTTATAAATGAGGAAGCCAAGACTCAGAGAGTTCTCATAATCGGTACAAGGTCACATAGTTATCCAAGCTTCTCCCAAAGAGCGTATGTTTGTGCTTACAAAAAGGAAAGAGAAAAGATGCTTTATAAAATCTTAAAAATAAATTAACGCATGGAAAATAATTTTTTCTATGTCTCACAAAGATTAAAAAGCCATGCGGTTATTTTTCTTCTTTGACTGGGCTAAATGTCTTTTGTGTATTACTGGGAATTGGAGAAAGCTGGACTAGCTCTGGAACAGCTGGTAAAATAATTACTAAAATAATCTCCGTTTTTCAAAGCCAAGAAGAACTGTTCCTCACATTGAGAAGTCATCCTTCAAACACAGATAAGTTGGTTTTATTTGGTGTTTTGGCCTTATCTGTGTCTCAAGTTTCAGGCACTGAGGGAGAAGAGTTTAAATATTTCTGTAGAATAAAACTTAAGGAATCTTACAAACTCTTAGCCTCTCATCTTTACTGCTGTACTAGATTACAGTCTTCCATCATTTAAGCAGAGTCGTTTAGGACTGAGGATGAAACAGTCATTATTAACCTTGCGCTAACCAGGAAAGTTCTGTTGTCCTTTGGAGAGTGAAGCTATTCCTCAGACTATTTGGAATAGAAACAAGACCCAGGGGCGCCTGGGTGGCTCAGTTGGTTAAGTGACTGCCTTCGGCTCAGGTCATGATCCTGGAGTCCCGGGATCGAGTCCCACATTGGGCTCCCCGTTCAGCAGGGGGTCTGCTTCTCCCTCTGACCCTCTTCCCTCTTGTGCTCTCTCTCAATCTCTCTCTCAAATAAATAAATAAAATCTTAAAAAAAAAAAAAAAAGAAACAAGACCCTGGCAAGACATCACTACAGTCATTGCGATGTCTGTAGCTAAGCAAGATGACTGGCACACTCAATCGATCCATTCTTATTCCTCTGATTTTTAAAAATTCAACGAGACTTTTATAGTTACCCACAGAAATCCCAACTGGCTCCGGCGAGGCCTGAGCATAAGGCAGAGGCCACATCCTGGTGCCTCTTTGCCAGGCCCACCCTGCAGATGTGTTACATTTTGTTTGGCTTTTCAAGTGTTTAAAGAAATAGTTTTTCTGAATTTTGTAGACAAAATTTTGCAATCTTGGAGAAGTCATACAAACATCTAAATTTCCGGTTTCTCTTGAGAAATCTATCTGGCCACAATGGGCACAGGATGCTGCTGAGTAAATCCTCACCCCTGTAACAAGAGCCCACAGGTAACCTGCAGGGGACTGCCTCACTCACTGATGGAGGTTGAGTTTGTGCCTCTGTAGACTCACTCTGTGTGCTCACTTTTCCCATGGGTGAAGCCTGGAGAGTGATTCTTTGCCTTGGGATGGTTATGATCAATATACTGATTCCATTTGTTTTGTTAGGTTCAAAGCCACACTGTTGAGTTTCCTTTAGGAGTTTTGACACTCATTTGACCAGTCTTTGTGGCACAAATCTTTGTCCTTGAATCTGATTTTTGGAAACAGTTAAAGGAAAATTTGGAGCCAAGTTTGGGGTAAAAAATATGTGTGACTATGAAATAGTGAAAACCTGTTTCTCTCCGGTGGTTTGTAAGCTGACTCAAAGGTAATTAAACAAAAGAAAAGAAAAGAAAAGAAAAGAAAAAGCTCAGTCATGTGTGAGGGATGGCTTTTAGTTCTTCCAGATGTCAGTTACCATTCCACTAAACTTTCAAAATATCTTATTTGTGACTCTATTATGCATATAGGACTTGGGTTTTACTTTTTTTGTTTGTTTATTTATTGTCTTTACCCCCTTCAACTACTTGAGAAATATATACTTTTATTCATCTTTGGTATGGTACACATAGTTGGAGGCCAAAAGATTGAATTGAAAGATTCATTATTGAATGAATGAATGAATGAATGAATGAATGAGTCAGTATAAATGGAAAGCATCTTAAATTGACTATTTTAAAGGGAATAACACACACTTTATATCTGTTAAATATCCATCCTCAGTTTTTTAAAAAAAATATTTGTATACATCCGCATAGTCAAAATGGATGGACAATCGTCTTTGGAATGTATAACTTTCTTTGGTCCCCAGAGTCAGTCCCTGGTATTGCAAAGCAATTCAAAGTCACTTGCTTCCCCTTCACAGACAAGAATCACTTCAGTACACACTTGTGGTTTTTCTGATGAGGAAGGAAAAGTAAAAGTTGTAGAGTCGAAGGTGAATAAAAACCCATCAATAATTACAGCTTACCGTTCATGTCCTAGTTCAAAAATAAAGTATCAAAGTATTTCGGACTGTGTTAAAATGTTCAATACTGCTAACCAAGTATCAGCGTCAACCTCAGGATGAGGCAACATCGGCACTTTGAAGCCTTCAACACAGAAAGTCTAAAGGAACTAATAAGTAAATATATTAAGACAAGATCAGCGAAAAAAACCCAGAAACCACATAAATCCGTGGAAAACGAAGTATCCCTTATATATGAGTGCTTTAGTTACACCAGGTATTTTAAGGTTGGTTATTCCTTTCCCAGAGTAGAGTGGCAGTGGGTAGCAGGGCTTTGAGGGAATTCTTACTTGCTTCTACACAGGAGAAAAAGAAGGTCTCCTTGTCCCACCCTCGACCCCCTCCAGCCTATTTGCAAGTCGCCGTAGACACTGGAGAGGGTATGTGCTCTGGTAAGCGCTGTGAATTGTGCAAGACTGTTGAATCTCAGGTCTGTACCTCTGAAACAAATAATGCAATATATGTGAAGGAAAAAAAAAAAAAGAAGAAGAAGGTAGCGGGAGGGGAAGAATGAAGGGGGGGGAAATCAGAGGGGTAGACGAACCATGAGAGTCGTTGGACTCTGAAAAACAAACTGAGGGTTCTAGAGGGGAGGGGGGTGGGAGGATGGGTTAGCCTGGTGATGGGTATTGAGGAGGGCACATTCTGCATGGAGCACTGGGTGTTATGCACAAACAATGAATCATGGAACACTACATCTAAAACTAATGATGTAATGTATGGGGATTAACATAACAATGAAAAAATTAAAAAAAAAAAAAGAAAGAAACACAGGTAGGCCCGACTCCCGCCGTGAAGAAGCTGCACTGGCCTCGGCTGCATCCTTCTCCTCCTCCCGCTCTATTTTGGGGCCCCATGATCTCATGCCCTCTGCAGACCGCACTCTGCAATTTCAGTCCAGCCCGCGCCGCGAGGCCAAGCAGGGCGATTCCTGCAAGTGTTCGGAAGGTGCCCGGGGCGCGGGGAGGGGAAGGCTTTGGGGGAAGTTGAAGACGCGCCCACGTACAGGACCCAAAATAACCGACACGCAGAGTGCCCGAAATCAGACAGGAAGCCAAATAATCCGGGGCGTTGAGTTGCTTTCCCCTCACTTCTAGCGCTGGGCGGGGGGCGCGGAGCCAAGGGCCTGGCGGCGAGGGGCGGGCGCGGCGGCGGGCGGGGCGGGGCGGGGCGGGGCGGGGCGGGCGCGGAGCCTATTAAAGGCGCGGCAGGGCGGCGGGGCCGAAGCGCCGGGGGCCACGATGGAGCGCGACGGCTGCGCAGGGGGTGGGAGCAGCGGCGGCGAGGGCGGCCGCGTTCCCCGGGAGGGCCCGGCGGGGAACGGCGACCCGAGCGTCGGTCGCGCCGCCGCGGCGCCCGGGGACGGGCAGGCGGCTGAGTCCTTGCTGGCCCCCATGGAGGTGGGGGAGGAGCCGCCGGAGAAGGCGGTGCGCGCCCGCACGGCCAAAGACCCCAACACCTATAAGGTGCTCTCGCTGGTAGGTCCGCGGCCCGGCCCGGCGCCCGGGAGGGCGGGGAGGGTGGCGCCCGGCTCCTGCGCGCCGAGCGCGGTCAGCACCGGGGGCCCGGAGAGAGGCAGCGTTGCGGCCGCTTCTCTTCGCCTGCACGCGCTCGCCTGCGGGCGCGCAGACCTGCTCCGCGCTCTGTTCCTGCTCTTTACCCCGGGGGAGTAGTGCGCGCTCCCCTGCGCCACGGATGCTTCTAAGGGCCGCGTTTAGGAAACCAGGCTGTTAAAATTGCCACCTTTTAGAAATACCACTCGTCCCCAGCAGAGTAGGAAGATTTTAGAAGGGAAAAATGACCCGCCCGAAAGTTGTTGGTCTTAGAAAAGGCCAACTTTTCTTTTTTTTTTTTCTTTTTAATCTTTTTTGGGTGACTCTGGGGGTAGTATTGATGACTTTCTTTGCATTAACTGATTTCACTTGAAAAGATTGAACAGAGTTCTTTAAGTTTTATCAGGAACTTTAGGAAATGCCTTTTCTTTTGGCTCTGCTTAGGAATTTCCTTGCAGCTGTTACAGAAATTCCATCAATATTCATGTTATGCGAATGTGAAGAAACGTTGACGATTATTTGTCCACTCTTTTAACCGTAGGTTACATGGTTTTTGTTGCTAACAAAAGTAGCCATTATTCCTCTGCTATTTTGACAGTTGCAAGATCCACAATCAATTTGATGAAATGTGGGGGTTTTCATTCCTATGGTAGGAAGTGCTGGGCTGAGAGTCAGAGCCTGGGTTCTTGGTTTAGTTAGTAATTGCTGAGGCCTTGTATAAGTCTCCCAAACCTCAATTTCTTAATTTGTTAAAATGAGGTCAAAAACTAATGATGTATGGTGACTGACATAATAAAATTAAAAAAAAAAATGAGGACATCACCTCCATTGCCCATTACATAGGATTATTATGAGAATCCCATGGGAACAATGTGGGGAAGTAAATTGAAAATTACAAGTAGACAGTCATTTTTATGCATTATATAGAAGTAACATCACTTACTATGATTGAACAATGCTGTGTAGAGAATATCTTTTCTGATATTTGAAACCTACTTTCATAAGCATTTCCATTTTCACTATTTTTTAGGTATCATGGTGATGTTACAATACTTTGAGGAACCAACATTCCTAAACTAAAGAGATGATGTCATATGCTTAGTAATTAAAACTTAAGCCTAAGGTTCCAAGAGTCACAAACCACATAATGTTTATATCTCAATATATATTTTTGCATCAGGATGAGAACTTACTTTTGGACTTTTGAGTCACCTTTTTTTGTTCCTGTTAATGGGAGACTTTTGCTTCTATGACATGATCACTAAAATTATTTAGTATCCTTTTTTCAGGTGTTTAGCACACTACCAGGTATTCAATAATTGTACATTGAATCTGTGTGCAACTCTAATGTGAAATCATTTCTAAATGCCTATAGCCTTGGAGGATTGCTAAATTGCCAATTGCTATATTCAGTTTTTAAATCTTTCCTATTCATTTGCTTATAGATCCGCAATAGGTATCAGCAAAGACCTACCTTTGCAACATGCATTTCAGTCTTTGACACGTGCAATCAGCTGGTCAAACAGCATTCCATTGTGTTCTGATGGTGTAACTCTGGGTACTGGACATGGAAGTGTCTTAGGTCTTCCTTTCACAAGTAGTATAATCATGAATATTTCTTATTCTATTAGGTGGGGTCTTTTGCTGTAACACGAATCAGCAAAGAATTCTTACCTCCTATCTTCGATGAAATACTGTGGGACATTAAATATACACCTAAACTCATTGCTATGTTTTAATTAGTAATCTTAATTAGTAACACAAGTGAATGTGAAAGCTTTTACCCATTCTTCTTTTTCTTCCCTACGTCAATACCCTACTTCCCCCCTCCCCACCAAATGATGCACTTCTAAAGGGAAAAGTCTCCAGAAGGAATTTGACAACTGACATCAAAGAGTTCTGGGACAAATCTTCTGGAAAGGAGCTGCAATTATGGGATTCCTTTTTTCAGGTTAAACATCAACACACTTTTCATAAAGCTGAAGAAGTGAGTTGACTGACTGAATCCAGGGTTGGGATTATTAGAGGCCAACTACTGATCTGGTTCTCAGCCACACAGTTTTTATCTAGCAGGATAATTATTATAAGACTTGCCTTCCAGAGAGATAATCAGTGGCAACTCTTGCATTTTTCTGAAGATATTTCAGATAAGCTTAAATGATGTAGTAATGAGAGAGTGGATGAAGAAGGGAAGAGGTGTTGAGTCCAGGGAAAGAATTGTAGGCTCTGGTGGCTTTTGGCCCTAGGCCCTGGAAATGCTCATGCCCAGGCACTAAGCCAGACTGCAGAAAACTCAGAGGGCAAGTAGAAGTACTTCTCTGTATATGCTCCAGTAGATGTGTTAAATACTGGATGCCTTTCCTTAGTTCCGAATTAAATTTTGAACTGAAATTTTGACTTTCACTGAGGTTAGACTTGAAGATTTATTTGAAATAATCCTTCTTATTCCCTGGTATCATTTTAAAGGGCAGAGAATTTTCAACCACAGTGCAGTACATTTTTCCACTGACCAGTGAGTCCTTCTACAGCATTATTTTGTGTTTGTGACCTTCTGCAGTGCTTATGAATACGTATACCTGTGTATGTGAAAAGGGCTTTATGTGTGGGTGGTGGTGGTTAAAGACTACTTTCACCTTTCAGTGAAAGAGTTTTTTGCAAGTGGCAGAGGTTGCCCTTGTTTATCGGAGGTTTGGGTATGAAAGTTACTAATTCGGTAAGCTCTTCTCCCCTTTTTACAGCACATTGTCTTATCTCTAAAATACAGTTTGGAGAACATTCAAGGTAATTCTCTACTCTTTTTTTTAGAAATTTATTTATTTGTTTGTTTGTTTATTTATTTATTTAGAGAGCCTGAGCGGGGGGAGGGGCAGAGAGAGAGGGAGAGAAAGACTCTCAAGCAGACTCCATGCTGAGCACAGAGTCCGATGTGGGGCTCCATCTAACAACTCTGAGATCAGGACCTGAACTGAAATGGAGTTGGATGCTTAACTGACAGCCACTAGGTGCCCCTAATTCTCTGCTCTTAATCAGACCTGGAATTGACATTTCTCTTTGGCTCGTAAAATTTAATATCCTCCAGCCATAGTTTAGCATCTTTCAGAATGACCAGAGCATCTTAGAGGCCAGAGAAGTTTCCTGTTTGCCCCTTTTGGTATTTGTCTCACATGTTGTGATAAAATGAATCAAACATTCCTAGGAGGCAAGCAAGATGGTTGTGTTTACCACTGGGCCTCAGACAGTGCCTGACACTCAATGTCGGCTTTTGGTTGAATGAATGACTGCACTGCATTTTTACTTAGACCAAGCGACACTTTGCCTTGGAAAAGAGCAAGATGGGAAAACTTTCTGACCACAGACCCATATGACCAGTTGAAAGTCAGGAATCTAAATATAGATGCGCTAATAGATATGATGCTTGGGTAGAAATTCAGGGATAAGATCAAAACTGCGATATCATTTCATTAGGGCCTTGGGAGACGGAAGAGGCCGTGAAGGAGCTATAAACCAAAGTTTCCAGCCAAGGCCAGCATGCTTTAGGACAGGCCAAGCAAGGCCTCTGTGGTCGCTTGGATTCAGAAGTAGGATCTAACTGCCTGCCATCCTCTTAGGTACAAACAAGCCAGGTGTGGCCGTCAGGCATGCACAGGTTAGGTCATCCTGCAGGTACAGATGGGAGTCGGCTTCACGTGTATTGTGGCCTCTTCTGTGTTAGTGAATTTGCTCTCATACCCCACATTCAGTCTTCATGTCTTTTGTGGGGTACTGTTTTCTTCAGCATTGCTTTCAATTCCTTTCTGCTCTGAGTCCCATTCTGGTCTCTCTCTCTCTCTCACCATTGATACCTCAGCAGGTTTCTGCTCCATGGATACACAGCCATCCTTTCAACGTTTTCTTTATTCCCTTGCGTTCCGCTTGTTCAGTTCACTCTGGACACTCGGTTTTGCTGTCCCCTGCCTCCTTTATTCATCACTCTGAAGAGAATCCCTAATGGCCTTGTTGAGAGACCTTATGCATTCTGTATAATAAAGAACTGAGGACCATTGACCCATTTAGAATAGTTACAGAAATTTTTATCTTTCGCCTTCTCATTGTCCCCCAGCTTACTTTTTTCTCAGATATCAGCATTAAAGGTAAATGAAAACCGTTTTATATTCAGATTGAGTTTGATAAATTTCACTGCAAAATATTCTTGTAACTTCTAACTCATTTGGCAAATGTATTTCATATGTATTATGGGCGTTTTGGACAAGTTAGAGAACTTAATTGTGATCTATAATTTTTTTTTTTGGTAGAAGAGGCATTTCATATTTCAAATGATTTAGGGACATATAAGCTTTTGGAATACAACTTGTAATTAGAGATCTACCTTTGGTTAAAATAAACATGCCTTTATCAACTATGAAATATCCCCAAACAACAGAAAGTAAACAAGAAACCTTTTAGCAAATGAGTTCAAGGCAGAACGTAGATTACTCTTTTAAGCTTGAGTCCTATGCAGCAAGAACTGATATTCAGAAAGCTGACTCAAATGAAAGCCCTTTGGCATCAAATAAAATCTAAGTTACATATTTACTACTAAAGTATAATAACATATTTAAAAGGGCTTTTCAAAAGAGTGACCAGAATGTTCAGCTACATATTAACTAGAACACTCTGTTTCCTGAGAATTTTAGTTATTTGAGGATTAATTACAAGCATTAAGATAACATCTATAATAATCTTTATTTTATCCTCCTTAATTTTTAGTTTTTCTTAAGATTATTTATTTATTTTAGAGGGAGGGGAGGGACAGAGGGAGAGGGAGAGAATCTCAAGTGAGGTGTCCCTCACTTTTAGTTTTTAGTTTTTAAAATTTTTATTCTTTTTTTTTTTTTTTTTTTTTTAGAGAGAGAGAGGGAGGGAGGGAGAGAATCTTAAGCAAGCTC